GCCTGGAAATTGTGCATTTCTTGGATTTTGGAAGAATTAGCCCATTTTTATAATTTAGACTTTTTAAGCGTTTTACTTATTGTCCCATTAAAAATTTTACATCAATATAAGATTCAAAATTCGCAAGCATACAAAACTGAAAAGCCAACGGTAATGATTAAATGATGATAACCGACAAATCCTGATTAGCACGATATCAACGTGCTCCAAAAACGAACGGTGCGAGTGAAAAATCTCATCTTCTCTCTTAAAACATAATGGGACCAACATGCATTTGCATCACTCGAAGCCATACACGTAACACGTAAACTTATCTCCTCCTCATTGGCCATGGTAACATTATACATAACCATACCGTAAAACTAACCTTACTTTCACTATAAATACCAACCTTTTGTATCACACAAATAAACATCACAATTAAAACAATAACCATACAAAAGAAAAATGAAAATCCTTTCACTTTCACTTCTCTTGCTCTTAGCCGTTTCGGTCTCCCATGGCCGGCCCTCAATATCCGAGCCAAGGCTCATCGAACTCCTCACATCAACCAACCTCATTGAGACCGAAGCCGACCTCTTAGAGAAACAACGACTCTCCATCAACTACCCCGACTGCAGAAGCTGGCACTTAGGTGTTGAAACATCTAACATCATAGACTTCAAGACGGTGCCCGCAAATTGCAAAGACTATGTTGAAGACTACTTGATCACTTCCCAGCAGTACCGTCACGACTCCAAAACGGTGTGCAAAGAGGCTTATTTCTACGCCAAAGGACTTGCCCTAAAGAACGATACCGTCAATGTTTGGATCTTTGATCTAGACGAAACACTCCTCTCTAATGTTCCCTTTTACGCCAATTATGGATACGGGTATATATTACTATTGCTAGTTTTTATCTACACCACCATCGTTTAGTTTGACAAATAACTGGTGCATTCACAAATCACAATAATTATTGCTAGTTTTGACGCCCCTGACATAATTATATCTAGGGTTTCCATGTTTACATTGTGGTTTCATGTAAAATTATATTTTTGTTTGTTTAGGACACAGAAGCACCCCCCGGAGACGTTCAAGACGTGGTTAGAGTTAGGCCAAGCTCCCAAACTCCCCGAGACCTTGCACCTTTACCATAACCTTCTCGATATCGGGATTGAGCCTGTCTTACTCACTGAGCGGTACGAAGAGCTTGCGGAAGTTACTCTAAAGAATCTCAAGGCTGCTGGCTTCACTTACTGGAAGCATGTCTTATTCAAGTAAGAATATAAAGTATAGCTTAATCATAATTTTGAGTAATTAAGTATCATATGTGATTGAATCGAGGGATATATGGAAACGCAGACCAAATGGTTCGAACGCAAAGATAGCAAACTTCAAGTCACAGGAGAGGAAGAAGTTGGTGAAGAGTGGATACACAATCATTGGGAACATTGGAGACCAATGGGCTGATTTGGCTAAGGGCAATGCTGGAAGAAGGACTTTCAAGCTCCCTAACCCAATCTACTACAAGACCTAATCATCTTTCTTAACGTCTTTTGTCCGATGCATCCACCTCATATGTGTTTGTGTTTGTGTTATCTTTCTAGCGGCTTGCTAAAATGTCCAACCTATGAGTACTACTCAATAAATAAAAGCACGTCGTACCAAGTATTTTATGTTTTAGTGAAAATAAATTATCAAGTGGCCATAAAATGATAAAACCATGTAAGATTAACGAAATGA